ATGGATGGATGATTTAGTTATTTCGGTGTTTCTCATTTATGTTGAGCACTTTTAGTTAAAGAAAGTTGAGTTTAGTTAAGAAAGTAAACCGCACACTGTAGAAACAGGGAAAGTTGAGAGACAAACTAACCTGTGTGTGTTGGCGCTGACCCAGGGGGAGGGACTTCCTGTCTGGGAAATAAAAATTGGGAGCAGTTCAGCCAGTTGGGGGTTCACGTGGTTTTTTCCTTTATTTTGTTCATTTCTGTTGCTTTTGTCTTTATTTAACCACAGTTATTATTGGAAATTAAGGATGGGCATGATTAATCAATTAATCGATAATTGATCGTTAAGAATTTAATCGATTACGTTAATTTTAATCGACAAACTGAATGTAGGTTGCTGTGTGTAGTGTGACCAAACAGGGTGTGTACATGTGTCTCTGCATCAGAAGGAGCGAGACACAAACAGTCTGCAACGTACCGAAGCACAAATGTGTATTTAACGATGATTTGTACAAGAAATTCCACACTTTCCGTTGCGTTGGGACAAGTGTGAGTCCATGTGCACAGTGTACAAAGCAGCACATATGTTTCTGTGTCCAGTGGGAAAAAGTTTTACCAGGTGAGAGTCGCTCAATGTGGATGACGAGTCCCCACCCCCCTCCCCCCGTACGGTGTCCTGGTTTTGACAAACACAAATCTGGTCACACTAACCTGTATTCACCTGAGTCATGTCTTTTAATCTGACAGAAATTGAACCGCATCAGCGACACAAGAGCTGGAGTTTTATCTTCGCTGAGTTTAGGCAAATTAGTGATGCAGTTTTAAGTTTTGTTTCTGTGAGAGTTGAACAAAACTGAATTAAACACATTATAATGTCAAACGGGCTGATGTGGCTCTAGAGTCGTTACTGTTTATATGTCGTAAATTTGAATTTATTTATGCAGATTAGTAGTGCAGATAGTAATAATAATGATGATCATTTGAATATAAAGACGTTCATGATTAATCGATAATTGATCGTTAATTCTTCCGACGATCGATTAAGAAAATTTCATCGAATGCCCATTTCTATTGGAAATACGTAATTTTTTTTCATTTTTTTGCCCACGAATCCACGGTGTAAGGAAGAATACATTTTTGGTTCAAATTTGGCCAGCTTCCTCACACTGCTGAACAAAAGTTAAAAGGAAATTTGAAAACTACCGCTTCATGACATCACAAGGTGGATCAGAGTGTTTTGAGCTTCAGAGATGTAGACAAACTCATAATAATCTCAAAAATCACTCAAAACAGTTCACAACAACCCATTTAGTGTAATACAGAACCTTTGAAACTGGAGACGAAAGAGACAAAATAAAGACGTACACAAATATTTGGAGTCAATTGTTGTGATTTTATTGTTGCACCATTTTTACAAATACACACAATATGTCCAAATGTTGATCTCACTTTGACAGGTTTGGTTTTGACGAGCACCGTGCCCATGTGAGCGGGGCAGGGACGCACCCGGCTGGCACACGTTCACACCGGATCAGATCAGTTTGGTTTCCACGGGGACCAAAAAGACAGGACTACAGATTCACCCAACCACAGACATGCAAATTTACCGAGTCAGGGCGGGTCTGCGGGGGCGGCGGCCGGGGGCTCCGCCGGTTGGTTTGGCTGCTACGGATTCTGCCGAGGAGAAAGCCGCCGACCCCGAGAGCCAGCTGAGGAGAGGGGGCGGAGGAAGGGGGGCGGGCACAAACGGACTGGCCAATAGGAGGCGAGCGTTGCGGTAGTAGTAATAGTAGTAGACCAATGAGCATGCAGCACGATTGAACGGAACCAAATGAGCTCGAGTATTGCAGTTTGTATTTTGGATTGACTGAAGAGCAGAGGTGGGTAGAGAGGTCAAAAAATGTACTTGAGTAAAAGTACTGTTACTTTGAAATTATTACTCAAGTAGAAGTACAAAGTAAAGATCCAAGAAATTCTGATGTATTTGAAGATATACTGTTAGAATTGTATTTTATGAATAGCATTTTGTATTTTGTATTGACTGAACAGGAAAGGTGGGAAGATGAACTAAATTGTACTCTAGTAAAAGTACTGTTACTTATAGTTAAAAAGTAGTAGTCCAAAAAATTACTATGTATTTAGGGATGTACTACTAGTACTGTGTTGTATAAATAGCATTTTTAATTTTGTATTGACGGAATAAAAGAAGTGTGTAGAGCCAATACTGTACTCGAGTAAAAGTACGGTTACTTCAAAATTATTACTTATTACTCAAGTAGAAGTACTAAGTAATGATCCAAGAAATGACTATGTATTTGGGGATAAACTACTAGTATTGTACTGAATAGTAGATGTGGGTAGATAACCCAAAATTGTACTTGAATGAAAGTACTGTTACTTCAAAATAATTACTCAAGTAGAATTACAAAGTAGTGATCCAAGAAATTCCGAAGTATTTGAGGATATACTGCTAGAATTGTATTGTATGAATTGCATTTTGTATTTTGTATTGACTGAACAGGAAAAGTGGGAAGATAAGCTAAACTGTACTCAAGTAAAAGTACTGTTACTTCAAGTAGAAGTACAAAGTAGTAGTCCAAAAAATGACAGTGAATTTGAGGATATACTAGTACTGTTTTGTATAAATAGCGTTTTGTATTTTGTATTGACAGAATAAAAGAAATACATAGAGAAGCCAATACTGTACTCGAGTAAAAGTACTGTTACTTCAAAATTATTACTTATTACTCAAGTAGAAGTACTAAGTAATGATCTAAGAATGACTATGTATTTGGGCATATACTACTAGTATTGTGCTGAATAGTAGAAGTGGGTAGATAACCCAAAATTGTACTCGAATGAAAGTACTGTTACTTCAAAATAATTACTCAAGTAGAATTACAAAGTAGTAGTCCATAAAAATGACAATGTATTTGAGGATGTACTGCTAGAATTGTATTGTATAAATTGCATTTTGTATTGACTGAATAGTAAAAGTGGGAAGATAAGCTAAATTGTACTCCAATAAAAGTACTGTTACTTCAAAATGACTCGAGTAGAAGTACAAAATGGTAGTCCAAAAAATTACAATGTATTTGGGGATATACTACTAGTATTGTACTGAATAGTAGAAGTGGGTAGATAACCCAAAATTGTACTTGAATGAAAGTACTGTTACTTCAAAACAATTACTCAAGTACAAGTACAAAGTAGTAGTCCAAGAAATTCCGATGTATTTGATGATATACTATTAGTATTGTGTTGTATAAATAGCATTTTGTATTTTGTATTGACGGAATAGCAGAAGTGTGTGTATAGAAGCCAATACTGTACTCGAGTAAAAGTACTGTTACTTCAAAATTATTACTTATTACTCAAGTAGAAGTACAAAGTAGTGGTCCAAGAAATGACTATGTATTTGGGGATAAACTACTAGTATTGTAAGTGGGTAGAAAACCCAAAATTGTACTTGAATGAAAGTACTGTTACTTCAAAATAATTACTTATTACTGAAGTAAAAGTACAAAGTAAAGGTCCAAGAAATGACGATGTATTTGGGGATATACTACTAGTATTGTGTTGTATAAATAGCATTTTGTATTTTGTACTGGCTGAAGAGCAGAGGTGGGCAGATAAGCCAAAATTGTACTTGATTAAAAGTACTGCTACTTCAGAATTGTTACTATTTTTTACTTAAACAGAAGTACACTGTATTAGTCTGTATTTGGGGACAGACTACTACTCTAGGAAAACTGTCTGGACGTGACATTTTGATTTAGAATTTGAAGTTGGTGTATTTGAAATAATCCACAAAATGTTTTCAAAGGACGAACCACAAAAATGTGAAAAACCAAACGTTATCTGAAGGAGCGGAGCAAGAAACACAAACGCTCAAATCATTACTTCAATAAAAATGACTCGAGTAGGACTAAAAACACTCGAGTAAATGTAACATAGACGAGTCCTGCCCACCTCTGCTGAACAGATTAAGGACCTAAAGGATTCCATGCAGTTCTGAGCGCGTTTTTTTTTTTTACAGTGCAGCCGCCCACGTGTGCAGTCCATATGTGCTGTGAGGGACGCAGGAGGAGGAGGAGGTGAACATGGATGAGAAAATGAGGGAATTCTTTCGGATTTCCAGAGGTTTCGCTAAATAAACAGGCCTTTGTGATGTGGAATGTCGCTGATACCACACAGGCGCAAAGATCTGGGGCTAAGCAGCGAGATTCGTACTCAAATAGTCCTTGGCAAATGTGAACTTTTCAACTGGTATCTCCAAAATTTGTATTGTGCTAAATTTAGACGTTTTTAATTTATGTAACTAATGTGCAAAGTTAAGTTCTAGGTAAATGTTAAAGATCTACTTAAAAAATCTTGTATTTTTTTTTGTAAAAGACAGAACGGATTTGTAGATTTAATTACAAATATTAAAAATCTACTTTAATGATTTCATAAAAAATCTCTTTTGAAAAATGTCTACCTCTGATTTATTGGTCTACATTTGGTTTAGTGCCAAAGGTGTGTTTTGTTTTTGACGATATCATAATTTTCAGAGTATAAAATAAAAGTTATTCTAGAGATGAATACTGCTGGTAAAGACGTGGAAATCTGGACTTTGAAGAAAACGTTCAGAAAAAGGAAATATTTGAAAAGAGAGATGAAGAAAAAGAATATGTGCCACAGACTTGAGTCAAACTTATGCGTGAAAAGTCGGAGTAGATGACGGTCACCTCGCCGTGAAGGAAACTAGATCTAGAAATATTGCATTAGAATTTGCAAAAACTGAAAAATACGTTCAAGATTGGTACAGAATTTAATAAATAATTCGGGTTGATTATAAGAAGATTCATGCGTCAGAATGCATTATTAGTATAATATTAACAAAGAATCATCATCACGTTTCAAGAATAGTACAAATATTTTCATGCTTGCGTGTTTTAAAGTTTATTTATAGAAATATGACTTTGTTCTTTTTTCTCGTTGCAGTTCCTAAATAAAATATAAAACTATTTGAAATCAGTATTAGCATTAGAGTTTTATTTGCAAATGGAAAGGCCCTGGTCACAATTATCGATGAGATTAGACGAACTTGGTTTCTCAAGTTGACGAGAGCGTTGGGTTCGTGTGCCTGTGGTCGGTTTTGGAGGGACGTTTGGGGGGAAGGTCATGGATGGAAATGGAAAAAATGAAAAGCTCAAAACAGACTCGTACCAAAGTTCAAATACTACATCAGAAAAGAAGTAAAAGCTAACAATAATAATAGCAATAGTCCCATGTGCAGCAGTGTGCGGGTTCTCCTCTAGGTGGTGTCTCGAGTCCAGTTGTCTCCACATATCTGAACATTATTATTATTATTGTTAATCTCCGATCAGAATATGCATGGGCGACTTAATCATCTTCAGATTTTTGTTTGACATTGTTGACTTCAATTTCCCAAAAGAGCTGTCCATTAATCTTGAACTGCTACGGTTTGATCCTTGCTCGGCGCCTCTGTGGCGTTGGCGTCCTTGGCGGGGGGCTCTGCGGCTGGTGTGGAGCTAGCCTCTTTAGCGTTGGCGGGCGCGCTAGCGGGTGCTGCCTCCGTGGGCTTGGGCTCAGCTTTGGTGGCTGGTGCCGCGGGGGCCTCAGTCTTTTTGGCCTCGTCTTTGCCCTCCGCTGCAGCAGGTGGCGCAGTCTTGGCCTCGGGCTCCTTGGCGGCTGGTTTTTCCTCAGCTTTAGCGGCCGGTTTCTCCTCGGTTGCGGCGGGCTCGGCGTTAGCGGCTTTAGCCTCTTCTTTCTTCTCGTCCGCTTTAAGCCGCAGCGTCTGGGGCCGGGGCGTCTTTAGCCGCCGTATCGTTAGCCACGTCTTTAGCGTCGGCGGCGGCGCTCTCTTCCTGGTTTTCTTTGGGAGCTTCGCTCTCCTCCGCCGCGCCGCCCTCCGCTTTGGCGTCCTTGTCTTTGGACTTCTCGTCGTTCACATTATATCCCTTCTTCTTTTTGCTCAGCTTGCCTCCCATTTTAGATGTCTGGCCCCTGAAACGACACGAGTAAATAAATGTCAGAACTGACATGTGTGAGCACAAGAAGTCAAAAGACAAACAGTGTGGATAAACACACATCTGTGTTGAAGTGAACAAAAGGAAGTATCCCTCTCCACATTACACACTCATCAACTTCACTATTTCAGAGTTTATGATTGATTTCAGATTTATTTTGAGCAGTTGGACGGCTCCTGAACAGCTCAGGAACACGCCGGGTAAATACTATGTGGTTGTTTGAAGGAAAAAAAAATCACAAAAATATTTAGGAAACCAGACAACAGAAAAAAGAAGAAACTCTTGTATCTGTTTAGAAAATGTTTTTAAAAAAAGTCTTTCCTCTATCACAGCGGCTGATGACAGGGTTTGGCCAGTAAAGTCTTCATCAGACACATGCTGCTTGTGGTTTTCATTCACTTCTGCACATGAATGAACAGATCCAATACAACAGAATATAATCGAACCTGAACATGCCACAATTATCCCACTATCTACTAACAACTGTAGTGCCAAAACAACATGTGACAGTGTCCACACATGAACACACAAACAGAATACACATGAAAACACATCTTCATGATTTTAAAGTCCAATATTACACAACACTGACTCTTGTGACCTTTGCACCATGTTGTAATGTTGTTCCTCATCAAAACAGACCTGGAGTTGTTTGTTTCATTCACACATGTTGGAGTAACTTTTATATTACACAAAAAAGCTCTAAATGCTCTGTTCCACCTTGTGATGTCATGAAGAGATAGTTTTCAAGTTACATTTTAGTTTTAGTTCAGTAGAGATTGGCAATTCCAGGGCTGAAATTCCAAATGATTCTCAGTGAAGGTGTATGGAGTTTAAAAACACAGAGCACTTCCTGTATCACCACATGACATCACAAGGTGGAACAGAGTGTTTTCTGTTTGAGAGAGAACTCAACCCCTAATATAGAAGTTTTATGTGTTAAACTTATGTGAATGAAACAAAACCCGATCTGTGTGTGATGAGGAACATTAGAACACAGACAGTGTTGGGAGTAATAGATTACATGTACTGGATTATGTAATCAGAGTACAAATTAGAGTAACTGTATCAGTTACAGTTACTGTTTCAAAGTGGTAATTGGATTACAGTTACTTGGTTGAAATAAATGGATTACA